ATTACAGTGATCTGTTACCTTTTAAATTTGTTTATTTTGTTGCATTGAATCATAAATGTAATAAACATAACCCATAACTGCCTTATATATAAAAAAAATATATATAACTTAATTTTTCAGGGATGCTGAGTTAAAATTTAGGGGTGCTTGAGCACCCCTAAAAAGAGGCTAAAATCGCCACTGATTGTGACACAGCTCTGTTTTTATTTTTACTGGGATGACAGCAGTGCTTCAGTAAAAAGTGAAATACTGAAGGCTGATTTACGCGCCACACATTTGACAATGCTTTTAGGATTTTATTTGAAATATAGAGCATCGATGAAAACTTTCAGCAGAATATGTGAGCATTTAGAAATAAAGTTTGTCAAAATAAAAGAAGAATTCAACACCATTATTCACACACATCCTGTTTAATGGACTTGTTGAAAGTCAGCACCAAATGCTCCACAAGTATAAATACTTAACGTGAAGTCCTTATAGCCTTTAGGGGTGCATGTGTTAAAAGTTTAATTTCTAACACAAACTGCATTAATGGGGAAAAGCCCATTTGAGGCCAAAAAATTAGTGTTTTACTTTTTCCATCAAAACGTGTCATTTATTGTACAAAGGGAACACTTTTCATTCCTCAAAAGACTTAACAGCCTTCCAGTGACCTGATGGTTTGATTTCCCCTGGGAAAGAGAAAACTGGTAAGGGAAAAAATGCACATGCTCAATCATCAAGGGGACTGGTGTGGCACATTGAAACGATGCAGCTTGTTTCAGTCAACCGTGTGTTGGTGAGATGAAGGCTTCTGTCATGTGTTGTATAATGAGGCAGCTGTAAAAAAATAAAGATAAACAAAGGCTGTTATCTCAGAGGCATGGGTTTGTATCTGCTATAGTTGAAAAGGCCATTAAAGGCTGGAGATTGGATCAAAAATCAGGTCATTATAACAAATGAATACCAGCATTTGTGTGTTATGTAAGCACTGAAAGAGGTGAGGGAGGCCAAGGGGGTGAAAAACCAAAACATGGAGGGGGAGGTTTGGACACGAAGAAACTGGACTCAAAAGAACGTAGTTGAATGATACATCTGAAAGTTGTAGCAGTAGATTGGGATACTTTGAGATTTTAATCATCCCCTAGAGTTTTGATGATTTGAGATTACGTGGATGAAAGCAAAGCGTTCAGACGCTGTGTGTCTGAGGAAGAGGAGGAGAGAAGTGACCTTCATAGATGCTGTTGAATGTAAACATTAGGGCTGAGCTTCGCTTCTGATCTGCTCAGAGACGACCACAATCAGTCCTCAGATATTTTTTTGAGTTGTTAAAAAAATTTATTTTTAGATTGTTTAGTGGATCTCTTATCTACCATCCACCTCAGAGGTCTTTCTTTCCTCAAATATTTCATTTAACTGCTACAATCCTCAAAATATAACCATCAAAAATACATTTATTTTTCTTTCAAGATAATGCGTTCTCACATTTAGTGTATTTTTTTAAAGTATGCTTATTTTGAATAATTTGTTTTGTTTGGAAGGAAGAAGGAAAATTTGCACTTTTTTTAAACCACAAGAACATTTTGCAGTTACAAATACTCAACTAAAAACTAAATGGTCCATTCGAATGGGTCACACAGATGAATGTCCAGTAATGTGCAAAAGCTTATAGATAAAGATAATAGATAGATAATAAAATAATTTATGTGAAAAATTATCTCATTTTTTTGTATTTTTCATACATTCTATTTGCAAATAAATAGTCTTTCTGGCACATTGTTGGTAAAAAATTACAACTAAGTCCACAGTGGTGCAGGTATTTCCTCTTTTCTGTTTTTTATTAGTTTTTTATTACAGCTATATTTAGGAACACTTAAACCGAACAACTTTATTGTCATTATTAGTCAATTCATGTCAATATTAGTTCTTCAGTATTCTCTTATTGTTTGTTTTTGAATTATTGTCCTGTTTGCAAACATAAACCTGCATTCTCTTGGCCTCCATCTGTCACAGCATATTATTAATAGTCCCAGTGGACTAATGAATTGTTCTCTTGGGTCATTCAGTGCTTCCTTCTTCCTCTCCATTATCTTTAGGGACGGCTGCTAATGCGGCGCCGGTAATGGCTTCAGTAAACTGTTATGTCTAATGATCGTCTGAAACAACAAACAGAAAAAATAAGAAACTATATTGTACACTAAACAGATACGTATTTATATTTACCTTTCTTGCCTAAAATACCTAATTCAAGACAAAACAACAAATAAATGCCAGTAAAGCAATGTATATGGTATATTTTCATTTTATTTAGTAAATCAAGCTAAGATAGGCTAAATTATCAACGGATGTTTATAACTACCACCTCGGTTATCAACATTGATTTGGATTCACTTGTTGCATTTTTCTATTAGATGTTATTTATCATATGTGAGTCTGTATTTCTATTTAATATCAAAACTGAATTATCAGCACACAGTTACCACCCAAACTAATGTCTTCACCCTGAAATATTTGACAGGCCTCTTCATTAGCTTCCTGTTAAAACTTACTTATATAATAACGTTTTTAATATCTGAATTTCTTCGTATTTTTATTTTCCTTTTGTCTCATGTTATGTATTTTAATTGATTCGGTGTACTATTGTGTTTCTGGTGTCATTTATGATGTTGTTTTAATTGAGTAATGTGAAGCACTTTGTAATTTTTGTTTAAAAAAGTGCTAAACAAGTAAAGTATTATTATTATTATTAAAAATCATTCTGTCAGGAGGCCTCATTTTTTGTTTTAGAGTCCACCTCTAAAGTCACCATTTTAAATGATTCCCACCAATTCATGCACTGACTCATCTTTTTCTGGTTCTGCAGAGAAAAGGGAAGGAAATGTTTGCACAATCAGCTGGTGGCCGGTGAAGCATTTCCTGTTCTCATGATATTCCATCTACAGTAAGTCCTCTGTCTGTGCTGTGACCGCAGCTCATCAATGAGCCATTCATGATGTTTTGACACCTTTTGGAAAAGTGGGATGGATAATTAGTTTTCATGCAAATCGTTCATCAGAAGAGTGAGATCTCAGCCAAGGATATGATTTACCCAAATACCAACCTGTTCATCTGTGAGGCTGCAGTGAAACAGTGAACAGCTCTGCAGTCAAAGTGAAACTCAGCTGGTTTAAAGCAGAGATGGTCACGTGCTCCCACCTGCTGGACAATGACGCACATTACTCTGAAGTGATAAAATAATTGTGTCAAAGCTGCCCTTTTCACAATATAGTACATTAAACATTATGTAAACATACTTTAAAAAGGATGAGACCCAACCATATTCTACAAATAGCATCTTTGGGATCATTTCCTTGCTGAAAAATGGAGCCATCAATAATCAGATGTTTTCTAGAAACAATATATGGCAACATGGAAAACCAGCCTTCTCTTTTGCATAGTCACAGTTTATCCAGTTTGAATAAAGCCATTCATGGCTGAAATATAACGCAATCCACGAGAGAGCAATCATGTTTTACAGATGAATATGGACGTGCCATGTTGCAGCTTAGACCTGAACATTTTGTGTATGATAGAGCTGCAGCCTCTCAGCGAGAAGATTGCTGGTTTGAATGCTAGTAGGGGGTCTTTCTGGGTGGAGTTTGCATGTTCTTGTTTCCTCCCACAGACCAAAAGCATGCATGATGAGAGAGTTGTTATTCTCTATGTGTCCCTGTGAAAAGGAAGAAGTGGATAAAGATGATGGATGGATGGATGGATGGATGGATGGATGGATGGATGGATGGAT